TGAGTTCAAGCGATTCTCATGCCTCAGCCTCCCGAGTAGCTGGGACTTCAGGCATGCACCACCACACCCAGCTAACTTCCTGTATTTTTAGTAGAGGCGAGGTTTCACCATGTTGTCCAGGCTGGTCTCAAACTCCTGACCTCAAGTGATCCTCCCACCCCAGCATCCCAAAGTGCTGGGATTACAGGCGTGAGAGTCACTGTGCCTGGTTGAGACTCCATCTCCTAAGAAATAAAAAAGAAGAAAGAAAAAATACCGATCTACTCTTACCCCACCTCATTGTACAGCTGGGAAGCTGAGGCGCAGAGACGCCCAGGGGCTTGCCCAGGCCACATAGTGAGTCAGATGCTGTGTAGACCCTGCTGTCAGGACCACCCATCTGAACCATAGACCACCGGGGGTCACAGGGCCCAGTATGGCTGCTCAGCCAGGATAGTGATAGGATTCAGCAAGGCCACGCTACAACCTGGCCTGAGACCCAAGGCCCTGACTCCTCCTGTCAGGACCAGGTTCACCTGGAACTCCAGAGCCTGAGGTGGCACAACCCAGCTAGAAGCCACCTCCTTCCATCAAGAGCTGATCACAAGCCTGGCCCATATAGTGAGACCCCCCACCCCGCCCCACCATCTCTGCAAAAAGTTAAAAATTAGCCAGGCGCAGTGATGCATACCTGTTGTTCCAGCTACACAAAAGGATGAGGCAAGAGGAGTGCTTGAGGCTGGAAGGTGGAGGCTGCAGTGAGCTGTAATTGCGCCACTGCGCTCCAGCCTGGGCGACAGATTGAGACCTTGTTTCCAAAAAAAAAAAGAGCCAGTTACAAGGGTCAGGCATGGCACTGAACACACGGATCTGGAGGCGACTTGGTTTGCTCGCAGGTCAAAGGCAGAGATGAGGCTGGGCACGGTGGCTCACGTCTGTAATCCCAACACTTTGGGAGGCTGAGGCAGGGAGGCAGGTGGATCACCAGAGGTCAGGAGTTCAAGACCAGCCTGGCCAACATGGTGAAACCCT